CTATCTATCTATTTATTGTGTCCTCGTTAGGACCAGAAATAAAGACACAAAGAAAGGAATTGAGTTAAACAAATATATTAGCAGAAACAGTAATACAAACATATATAAATGAGAGTGTTACAGCAAGAATGTTCGGTCCGACTGTCAGAGCTGACTGCTGGAAACTTTCCTCTCCAAAAGGCAGTACCTGCTCCTATTTATAGCTGGAAGAGTCCATTCGTGCCTGGGTAAATTACCATAAGAAAGTCAAAGATATGAACATCTGAATTATCGTTAAAGCATTTCAATTCGGATTTAGAAACGAAATTAGCATCAGATTCTAGCAAATTACGGCATTGGAGTAGCTGTCATAGACTCAAAGATGGCAAAATAAAAGCAGTTGGCCATGCATGAAGCACGCTAACAGCGGCTGAAAACATTTATATACATATCAAAAAGGAAACGCTCGTTATTTATTTTTGCAGGGACAAAAATCACAAGGTGATTCATTTTCTAAAAAGAGGATTCCAACACATAGTTCCAACCAGTTCCAAAGAAATAGGTACCAGTGGATGGATTATCCGAATTAATCCCCAAACTTAAGGAAACGTTTGAAGAGACGGTGATCGCTTCTCTGTTTTCTGAAAATGAGATAAAAACTGTTTTACCATTAAATAAATTTTGGACAGGCAATTTCTCAAGATTAATCCCAAAATTTAGGTAAATCTATTGAGCAGACAGTAATTACTTATCTGATTTCTGAAAATGAGATAAAAATGTGTGTTTGTGTAACCCGTGATTTTGGTGGAAATTAATATTCAATCCAAGAATTAAGACTACATTTGAAAAATGATGAATGACATAAAAATGTGATGGAAAGAAAGAAAAGTAAATAAACCAGCTGTTACCGAAAATAAGTCTTTTTCCATCTTTAACGATGTACTGATGAAGGCGAAAAGAGTCGTAATTCCTGCAACCTTGTAAAAATAGTTTTAAAGCAGTTTCATTTTGGACATTCAGAAATCCCATAATCCCTTATGGGAAGTTACGTATAATGACTTCAAATAGTCCAGCATATTCAAAATTTGGTTAAGTGATGCAGATTTTATGCTCCAATGGCCGAATTACGACCTGTAAATTATCAATCGTGGCTTAATACTGATAAACTTTGGTGTAGGTTGCATGGTGATTGCAAAAGTCATTTGAATGGCGTGTATTACTTGATTGTTGTAGAGAGTTTTTCAAAATGGCCTGAAATATTTAAGTGTTGAAGAAATACTTCCACTGTAACTGTAAATTTTATTCATGAACTGTTTTTGAAATTTGGACTTTTTGATACTATGAGGTTTGATAATGAGACGCGATTTCCATCGAGTGATATTCAAAATGTTAGCAAATACTATACAGTTGAACATATAGTGATTTTCCAATCGTAGCTTAGATGTGGCACAAGGCCGAATGTAGGGGGCACCCAGTGAGGATCGAACTCACTATTCAGTCTAGCGAGACAAGCTTGATAACCACTACACAGCCTTGAGGTGCCCTGTATGCAGTTGGACATTTGTTTGGGACAGGCTAGGTTGAACAATGTGGGGAACCCAGTAGGATCGAACTCACTATTCAGTCTACAAGATGCCATAACCCTACACAGCCTTGAGGTGCCCCCTTTGTGGTTGAACATATAACAACGCTGCCATACTAACCAAGATGAAATGGTCAGGCTGAACGGTTTTTTTGATACGTTCAAATAAATGTTAAATAAATCAAAATGGGTCATTCTGGGTATGATGTTAAACTATATCCGCGTCCAGGGTAAGACGATAAACTACGTCCAGCAGCAAGGCCTCTTATGAGGAGGTTTTGAGGAGCGTGGAACCACCTCTTCATTGTTGGTGTTCCCAGGTCCGCTCTGACCCGGGGTGGTAGCACCTGTTAGGGTCCCAGCTATGGCCAAACAATGGTAAAGCAATATGAAAGTGTAAAAATACTTTTCTGTACCAGGATTACTTTGCAAAGAAAATTATTACCAGCAATAACTTTTTGAAGAAGAAACTATTACAAACAATACGTTTTTGAAAAATAAATATTAACAGCAATACATTTTTGAATGAAAAAATTATTACCAGAAATAGATTTTTGACAAAAAAAAAAATTACTAGCAATAAAAATTTTGTCGTCATTACATAACCCATTGAGATTGATATGCTGTAAAAAAAAAAACGAAAAAAAAAAAAAAAAAAACTCTGATCTACAAACTGATTTTTTTTTTTTACAAAGAATACATAATCTATACATACGAACTTATCCTAATCATCGTGTCAGCATTACTTGAAAATATTTGCTTGACACTACAAGACCATTATATAGGAGTCAATGTGTCATAAATCCACAACACCCTGGGTAAGATAATAAATTATATCTGTGTCCTGGGTAAGACGATAACCTACACCAAACAGCAATGAATCTGATCAGGAAGTTGTGAGAAGGGAAAACCCCTTTTTACAAAAATACTTTAATGAAACCTGATCTACAAACTGATTTCTTACAAAGAATACATATTCTATTCATACGAATCTATCCTAAAAATCTTGTCGGCATTAAATAAACGATTGAGGTTGATATGCCGTAAAACAAAATAAACCAAACCTGATCTACAAACTGATTTCTTAAAAAGAATACATATTCTATTCATACGAACCTAACCTAAAAAATCTTGTTGGCATTAAATAACCCATTGAGGTTGGCATATTCTATTCATAATCTATCCTAAACATTGAGGTTAAATATGCCGTAAAAAAACAAAAAAAATAAACAAAAAAAACCAAATTCATACAATTATCTAAAAATCAAAGAAAATACATATTCTATTCCTCAACAAAATAACCAAACCAATCTAAACCAAAAAATACATATTCTTTCAAACGGCATTAAATAAAAATGTTGTCGGCATTAAATAACCCATTGAGAGTGATATGCCGTAAAACAAAATAAACCAACCAATCTAAAACAAAGAATAGATATTCTTTTCATACGGATCTATCCTAAAAATGTTGTCGGCATTAAATAACCCATTAAGGTTGATATGCCGTAAAACAAAATAAACCAAACCAATCTCAACCAAAGAATACATATTCTATTCATACGAATCTATCCTAAAAATGTTGTCGGCATTAAATAACCCATTGAGGTGTTGATATGCCGTAAAACAAAATAAACCAAACCAATCTAAACCAAAGAATACATATTCTATTCATACGAATCTATCCTAAAAATCTTGTCGGCATTAAATAAACCATTGAGATTGATATGCCGTAAAACAAAATAAACCAAACCTGATCTACAAACTGATTTCTTAAAAAGAATACATATTCTATTCATACGAACCTATCCTAAAAATCTTGTCGGCAATGGGTTATTTAAATCACCCATTGTCGTTGATATGCTGTAAACCAAACGAAACCAAATCAAATCAAATGGGAAGTTTTTAAGTCTTTATTGACTGACATTAATCCTTATACTCCATCGAGGATGTTAATAGCGGAACTAATTTTTCCCTGAAAAATTACATCGATGTTTAAAATAATGACGTTTTCTTTAAATAATCGACAATTCATACCGTCCATTCGTTTTTTTTCTTTTCTCATCTCTCAGGCCGAATGCATCGCTGTATTCCTAGACATATTCCTCAAACTATGAATCTTGGTTTTATTTTTCCAATATGGATTTCTGCCAGCCGGAAAGTTACCTTGTTTATGCATATTCATTTATTCTGAGTACTTTCGGCATTAGCAAAATGTCATCTTCAGTTTCTTGTTTTATCAAGATCTTGTTTTATCTAACAAAAATTTGAGGCTTACATAATAAAATTTAAAAATAGTACATCAAATTCGCGTTTTTCATTTCTCAAATAAAAAAAAAATTCAGATAAACAGAACAAATTTGTCTTAGATAAAGCAAGACCCTGATGAAACAAAACCCTGAAGATGACATTTCGGTAATGTCGAAAGTACTCGAAATAAAAGAATATGCATCACTATGGCAACTTGCTTTCTTCCTTTAATAAGGATACTAAGAAGCTTCTTCGTGAATATGAGATGATCATATTAAAAAATAAGTCAGTGAGACCAACGGACAAATTTCCACTACTAAAAATCGACTATTCTGAAAAAAAAGAGCGGAAAAAACGGCTAAAAGCAAACTTACCTACTAAGTAAAGGAAAGTGCTCGAAGCCTAGATTACCTAGACAGGGCAACCCGAGTCGTAACATGAGTTTCACGCTCACGTGACATTCAGACGACTTGAACGGAAAATGAAAGAAGGAATGGGCGGATTTTATATAACACGAGAATGGTTCTAAAGCAACACGGGAAAAATTCATTAAAATATTTTCATTAAAAAGAACACCACACTAGCATATATATATATATATATATATATATATATATATATATATATATATATATACAACTTTTATTAAATAATATAGACAAAAACTAAAAATCCTTGACGCAATATACATCAGACAGTTGAAACTTAACCTAAACAAAATCAACTCTACAAATATCCTTAAATATCTATAATTGGTAACAGAAGCCATTGGTTTATACCAACGCCTTCCCATACTTAATACTTCTCGAATTCACTCTCGCGTGGTCATGTGTGACGTCATGAGATGCGGTGCGATTTTTGCTTCTAGTGTCTTATATGCACGTGTTTATCGTTGCTAGGAAATCATCCATGTAAACAATAACAGACTATCATCACTGTCTTGTCCGTATATTGCTTAATATATTGTACAGTAATTGTCATCTTTGATAATGGCTTATGTAAGCCGAAAGCTTAGATTGGATTAAAAAATATGGATCAATATTGTGATTTTCTTTTTTTCGTTTAATGATAATGTTATTAAACTTATCAGACGTTATGAAAAGAATTTACATAAAATAAATAGACAACACTTGTCTATAGTATTTAAGGAAACATGTATGAATGAAAAAATGCTGCCTAAATACACACAATA